GCCAAGTGGTTTTCTGATCCCAGCTGCAGAGCATCCCCTTCCCATTTGCAATTAAATCTTCTTCAGTGTAGACGCCCTTACTGTATGCATTGCAGTTTGCTAACCAAAATACATCGCAGCACATAGCAGGGTTTGACTAACTGGCCTAAGAGTGCCCCATGCCAAAGCGCAGAGCCTTCTCACATACCGATGTTTGTTGCCTGTTTTTGATGTTGCATTCGGCATGTAACATTGATGAATTAGCTCTTCCTCCAGCATACGTACTCTATGGCTGACCTGGTTCACAGCAGCAACATGGAGAAGAATTCTATTTGCCACTATCTGTACAAGTAGGAGTCGTGTTGCCGGTGTCCTTCAGCTCGACCAGGGAGCACTTGTGCCGAAGGTGGAAACTGATTCATCAAAGTTGATTGTCGATCAGCAAAAACCGACCGACATCATACATCCATACGTGGCTCACTTGTTGGTACTTGCGACATCCCCATGCACAAGTAGTACTATGCATGTAAACTGCACGTGCTCCCTAAGCAGAAACTGTACTCTATTTGTGGACGTCGCGCATCGCACGTCGCAAAACGTGAATTTTCTTCAACTTCTGCGATAGGCAACTAACTTGCGACTGTACGCACAGCTCGCGACAGGCATTTCCTTGTCGCAACTGTAGCAAATCTCGCTCTGGGTTTGTTCAATTGTGTCAATCATTCATTGGGTTCCCTGCAATAAGACGACACCGTCTGTAGGGCTCCCCTACTAAAATAATGAATACATCTCATCATCATCATCATCATCATCAGCCCTTTCGCGTTGGCATCGGCGTTAGCCTAGCCTTCGCTTGGGCCACACTCAATGTTGGACATGATACCAGAAGAGAAAGGGCGAAAAAGAGAAAGAAAGCAAAACCAAAAACGAAAAAGGGAAAAGTATCGGTGAACAAACACTTGATCATACGCATACTATTCAAAGACACTAACAATGCAACACGCTGGTGCAGCACTAGCACATTGCAAGTACATCTACTACCACTAAATCGCGAGTCTAGTTGCAAATAATTACATTGTGAATGGGCCTTTACTCGTCAATGAAGAGAATCCACTTGTGCCTAGGCATTTTACTTTTTAAACTTACGGCAAGTAGTGCTGGGAAGTTCCTTCGGTATTTCTTTTCCATCTGAATACAATGAACACAGCAAGTTCTCTTATTGGCCACAGGCCTTCATGAGAATAAAAGATTTCAAACGCAAAAGGTTCCCACGGCAACAAAGGATGTTAGTGGCCGATCAGTGAAGTAGTGCCTTGCACATGATTGTAGTGGTTTAGCGTTGGTCATACGTTGTTTTTGTTTGTTACGGTCATCAGTGAATCAACGTAACAATGGAATGGGGACTACTTGAAACAAACAAGAAAATATAATTATAGGATATAAAATGTAAAAAAGAGAAGAAACACATGAGAACGATAGTTGCCGCATAACTCGTTGTCATGTGTTTCTTATCTCTTATACATTTTATTACTGGCTCAGTATCCGAGTTTAAATTATAAGATAAGAAATGCTTACAGCTAAATTAGTCCTCCTTGTGGCTGTATTTTAGCCGCTGTCTCCAAAATGATTAAAACAAATCACGGTTCGCGTGAGACTCGGTCTAGCCGAGTTTTCCGCATCCGTAGGAACGCCACCACCCTTCAAGGATCAAGGCTTGTTCAATAATGTTTTTGCAATACTATTTTTCATCGTTCCTATTTGTTCTTCACATTGCATTCCCATCACCGTTATTTCTGTATCAATCACCACTTTACATACGTAACACGTCGCTTCAGCTTATTCTGTTTATTGCCATTCTGAAATTGTTCAATAATATTTGAACTCGGATGGTGAGCCAATAAATATAGTTATGATGAAGAAAGGAAAAGGACAAAATGTTACGAGTTATGACAAACTGTCCACCAACCACCATTTTGTCGCACTCCCTGACTGTATAAGATGTGGTGACGTTGGTGGACAGTTTGTCATAACTCGTAACATTTTGTCCTTTTCCCTTTGTTGTGTAAATAGGAAAACTATAATAATTTATAGGAGATGGACCAGATAAACCACGAATGCTCTCTTCTTGCATGCTCGAAAATCAGTGCTGGTCCATTCAAAGGCCGTGCATCCTGTACTGCGTCAGGTATCACCAAGAGTGTAATGGTATCACTCGTCGGTGAGCAGCCTACCTTTTAGCCCTGACGCCTGCCTTGCCGGGATGGCCTGGTGCGAGTACTCCTCTAAGCGTGACAGAGGCTACAACGCTGCACTTGCTGACCGTCCAGCGATGGTTGATTCCGTACGTACACGGAAGGCGTAGATCTACTCAGAAAACGAATACAACCTTCAGCCACGAAACACTGACTCGAGTCATTATGGACAGGACCTTTTGATTGTAGATCTACTGATGTAGATCTACATGTCCGATTACAGATTTATTTTGTAGATCTACATGAGTCTTGACGGACAGAGTGAGGGAAGAGATCACCGCAGACAGTGCGTGTAGACCATGGTAGACCATAGACCGTTTTCCGATAATTATTGATGTAGTATTCATGGTATTGGCGTAGATCAAGTATGGCTTTTCAGAGTTCTCTCAACCACGTGAAGGTGAAGCACTGAAGCCTAGTGAAGGCAGTGAAGGCACGTGCATCCAGCGCAAGCCTTCTGTCCTGAGCCCGCGCACCCGAGCTGCTGTCGACATGATTGTCGTCTACCATGTCTGCACCTCAGTCTCGTGACTCGACTGGCCGCCAACAGTCAACACTACTTGTGACTGAGCACTGCATGCGGCTTTCCTCTGCCTCTGCCGCAGTGTGAACTAACAAGTAACAGCCAGACATACGGTTGGCCTGTGCATGACGTGGCACGCTTTGACTTACAAAAATAATGATGACTGTGCTCGCTAGCTCGACCATTCGAACTAGCGCGTAGTAGAGGGATCATTTCTTTCCTCCTGTTCAAAAGCCTCGGAGTCGAGCCAGCCTTCTTCGTTCATTCTACTTTGTAGGTCGGAGAGTAACACGGATTGTGGGTAGCATTGGTTGGAAGTCGATCCATCACGGACAAGAAACACATCAGGTGTGTTGTCCTAGAGGAACACGACGTACAGTCGCTCGTTGGAACGGGGATCGAGCAATTGCACGGTAAGCCGCCGGAGAAGCAGGAAAGCAATCTATTTCTCACGCTGTACTCTGATCTGGCACGACACAGAGCACCACGCGTCATCCGTAAATTTCGAATGCGCCTTTGCTACTACGCCCAGCCTTTGCTGGTGTAATACTAATAGGTTCGCGGTTGCAGTTGAATGCACTGAATGCGGGCTGAGCAAGTCAGTGCGGTGTTTCGGTGAGGAGAAAGTATCCGAAAAACTCATTCAAGCGAAACATAATCGATTTATCTTGGGTGTTTTCTTCGATACCGGGCCAGCGTACTAACCCGACGAATGTACAGTACTGGCAACTGAAATCCGACCCCCTGAGCGGTGGGTTCACATTCTAGCGGTCTCTGTTTCGTAGTTTCACCATCCCGTGTTGGGTCTTTGCAATATGAGCGCACCGCTCAGGTGGTCGGATTTCAGTTGCCAGCACTGTACATAATTTATACTCCTTCCAGCGTGTGTAGGCGGTAGTAGGCTGTTTGAGGGTGTTTCAATGATCATCATAATAGTCACTGTGTCTGAGATGATCATCATGATAGCCACTGTGTCTGTGATTGTCACAGTATGTGCATGTTACTAAACTTCAGATCTGGAGTACACTCGAACGTCTCTTATCCGAGCGCCTTGGGACCGGGCACTGCCCGTATCTCAGGACAGCTCATCTACCATGTGTCATAACAGTTCTTGATGACGTTTGTTTGGTACCCATTGCACATGTTCAGGATAAAAAAAAGAATCCATTGATGAACATGTGTGCATTGCAAAGGTTGGCGGTGAGCGCCGGTGACAAAATTGCGCATACGAAAAACGTTTAAAAAAACCCAGATTCACAGCATTTTTGCCGTTGGCACTCAAGCTGAAATTGCTCGCTAGAGGGAAGTGCCCGTATCTGAGGTGTCCGGATAAGAGATGTTTCATTCGCTTTGAGTTCTTAACATTTTATAATTGTTTTGGGTTTTAGTTGCACTTCTATTATTGATCAAGATGGTATTTTTGCCCGTATCTGAAGCGTCCGGGTAAGAGACGTTTGCGTGTACATTCATATCTCATGTATCCGGGCAGTCTGGCACCAGACACTGCCCCTAACTGCTTGGAACTGTTCGTAACTGTCAATCACATACATTTTGGTGGGGAATGGTCAGAGATCTGGAGTATGACGTCCCCATTGCAACAAAATTTGGCAAGAGAGTAGTAATATTTCCACTAAAACTGACGCACAGGGTGCCCCTTAGACCGAGGTGCCAGTAGCTTGGAGGTCCAGATAAGAGAGGTATGACTATACTAGTGTTCGTGATACTTGTATCTGAATACGCGTATCCCCACCACCATCACCACCACTGGTTGGCTTGTGGGCGCGAAGAATACGTTTTTTAATAGCTATGAAAAGTATGAATGCCGCAGACATCACAACGCAACATGACAATTTGTTCAAGTTTTTGTTTTGTGTGTTTCCAAAATCGATTTTCAAGCTCCGATCATCAGTGGAAATACGGAACTAAAGTGATCAAGGGAAAAACAAAGGTTAAAAATCCAAAGAAGTGTGACACATGACGGGTAACTTGTGGTAAGTATTACAAAAAGTGAGAACTAAAATAAAGAGTAAGTGTGACAAACGGGCATGAACAGTGCAGAAACAACTCATGAACACGGAGTGCAAACTCACGAAAATAACCTAAGTGCTAAAACATGTGCTTTTTGCTTACACAAATCGGGCTTATGCGTACGAATACAAACAGCTTCAAGGACCTTCAACTGCTGGACATAACGGGCACCACACAGTACAGAGAAGTGGGAATCATCATACACACTCAAACAATCGGGACGAGATAAAAAATGCAATAATACTTACCACAAAAATACTTACCACAAGTTACCCGTCATGTGTCACACTTCTTTGGATTTTTAACCTTTGTTTTTCCCTTGATCTCTTTAGTTCCGTATTTCCACTGATGATCGGAGCTTGAAAATCGATTTTGGAAACACACAAAACCAAACCTTGAACAAATTGTCATGTTGCGTGGTGATGTCTGCGGCATTCATACTTTTCATAGCTATTATTAAACTTTTATCTCCACGTAGATTATTTGAATACATTTTTTCTTTTTCTTTTTACTATGGTCACATACCCAGCTCGAAAACCGTGAATTGTATTCTGTTTGCTCGTAAAAGAGACTTCAATCTTTACCCGCCCATGTGCAAGTTAGGCCTTTCAACAGCAATTGACTACCAAGTATAGCGAAATTGTGTGCCAAAAAACTGACTGCCCCAAAAACTGACTGCCAAAGAACATTCAGGCTGGAATGGAAAGTCATCAAAATGTAAAAGACCATGCGAGGTGGGAACCAGCGATTTAGGAACACCATTGTGTGTGTGTGTGGGGGGGTACTATGGTCACATTCCCAGCTCGAAAATAATAATGAAAGACAATGGTTGTTGTGGTGTTCTTCTTTCAATAGGTTGTCATGGCGACCTGGCTTCGAAAGTGCATCTCTACTGCTCTATTAGTAAGTACAGTAACATTTCGATCTGTTTTTTCCTTTGTGCCAAATAAGCAAAAAGGGAAATACCCTTGTGCCAAGTAAGCAAAAAGCCCTTTGCACTAAGTGGGCAAGAACAGAAATACCCTTTGTACCAGGTAGGCAAGAAGGAAAATACCCTGTACGAAGTGGGCAAGAAGGGGAATACCCTGGACGAAGTGGGCAAGAAGGGAAATACCCTGTGCGTAGTGGGCAAGAAGGGAAATACCCTATACGTCATGGGGCAAGAAGGGAAATACCCTATACGTAGTGGGCAAGACACAAGATAGGAAATACCGTTTGTATCAAGTACACACGAATGGAAGTACCCTTAGTACCAAGTAGGCAAGACGCAAGACACAAAATACACTTTGTACCAAGTGGGCAAGAAGGGAAGTAGCCTTTGTACCAAAGGGCCAAGAAGGCAATTACCCTTTGTACCAAGTGGCCAAGAAGGGAATTACCCTTTGTACCAAGTGGCCAAGAAAGGAAATATTGGATACTGTGAAGTAAAAAAAGTAAGCAAATTATCGTGTCCGTTCCCGAAGCAAACTCACGACGGCCGCAAACACCCGGTAAGCCCTAGCGGCAGCTGCAGCGGCTAACGCTGGGGGTGAGTGGATAAGTCTCACAACCACTGGCACAAGTGCCGAGAAATCCCATTAGCTGCATCCAGTGGTGAAGTGCGAAGTGGTTGGATTGAAAGGAATCAAAGTCTACAAAGCTTTTTGATCCACTCCCTCTGCCTCTGTCTCTGTCTCTGTACGTGTAGCTGTATATGTATGTATACGGTCACAAAGTGACTATCCACACGGCCATCATGAATATTTTCTATGCTGAATCAGATACCAACCAGCTATCACCAAACTATGCTTTATATTGGCCAAGTCCCACTGAACATGTTGTAAGTGGATTGATGATTGCATTGAGCAAGAAACTCTGAGTGGCGACAAACCTGTAAACCTCCGTTGTTCCTTTTGTGTGTAATAGTGCTCCACAGTCTCTTTCTGTCTCTCTCTCTCTCTCTCTCTCTCTCTCTCCCTCTCTCTCTCTCTCTCTCTCTCTCTCTCTCTCTCTCTCTCTCTCTCTCTCTCTCTCTCCCTCTCTCTATTTCTCTCTCTCTCTCTCTCTCTCTCTCTCTCTCTCTCTCTCTCTCTCTCTCTCTCTCTCTCTCTCTCTCTCTGCCCTGTCTTGTTGCCTCCACAGGTGAGTGCACTTTGCATACACGAGTACGCAGTAGTGACAGGGGCTGCTGCTGTTGAATGCAAGTTTGAACATGAAGACTACTGCAAGTGCAAGCTGCCAGATGGACATGAGTTGGACTTGACGCCACTCAAGGATATCCCCGCGTAAGTTGTCATGCTGGAATAGGTCTGTGGGCAAGTTGAGTGTCACAGGGCAGTGGGGAATCCCCCCTCCCCCCAGAGGAGGGGGTCAGGGTGTCCCGGGGGGGGGGGGGGATCAGATGTTTTAGCCAACAGGGCACATTTTAGCAATCTGCATACAGGCGCTCTGACCACATGAGTGAGCCATCCTGGACGAAAAGTGGTACGACAATGGTCATACTGGTCGTACCTTGAGTGACACCCCTGGTGGGCAAGCCGGGCAGAACCAATCCCACTGGTCAGTCCATGGCTGCACCAACTCTTTAGCTACTAACACATGTTTACCGCCGTGTTTGCCATATATGGGTGTCAGTTATCGTACTCTGCTAACGGGGGTCAGTGTGGTGTTTGCATACACTGTTCTGTGTGTGTGTGTGTGTGTGTGTGTGCACAGGTTTCTAGATCCAACGGCTGCGTACACGTGGAGTCCGTGCGGTGATGTCCTGGACTTTCCCGGCACGGCTTGCTCAGCTGGTGTGGCGGTGAGTTGTCATTCTCCTGTACTACTATACGTCATGTTTTAGTGGCTTGAGCCCATTTACTATGCCTACACTCTCCCCCCCCCCCCCCTTAGGGCCGGGTTCCACTGCGGCTCCGCGGGTCCGCTGCTCCGCGGGTCCGCTGCTCCGCGGGTCCGCTGCTCCGCGGCACTTGGCTGCATGCAGCGGAGCAGTGCGGTTCCACTGACACTCGCCATTCACGGTAACGCGGTCGTGCTTCATGTTTTTTGATGACGTTTTACCTGCCTGCGCATTTTTAAAATAAAATAAAAATGCTCGTGTTCTGGCCTGTGCAACGAAAAAGAATTTTAATTTTAAAATTCTTGCCTACAAAACAGTGCAAAGTACGGGAAACAGGTCGAGCTGCAACCGCGGCTCGCAGCTTTTGATCAAGAATCGTAGCGAAAGCTCGCGGTGAGCCGCAACCTCGCTGCTCCAGCTCGAGCCGCGGTCACTATGATAATGATGACGTTTCAAGCCGTAGCTGACGAGCAGCGGAGCAGCAGAGTTGCAGTGGAACCCGGCCCTAAGGATCTGTACCTAAAGAGTTTCATGCACAGACCTGAAGCAATGATATATTCCGATATTCCGATGTGAATACTCCAGTGCAGCATCATATTCAGGCAGAGAAATGGAGGCTAAAACCCGGGGCCATCGGAAGGTATTTTTCTGCGATATGGTCAGCCCAGCCATCTGAAGTACAGCTAAGTCGTGCGGGGGGGGGGGGGGGCGGGGGGGGGGGGGGGGGTGGCGTCGCTGAGCCGAAAAGCTTGCCGGGAAATTAAGAGCAACTCAGAGTAATCCATTTATTCACGGGGTACCTGGGACGAGAAGTGGTACGGTCAATACCGTAGTGACCGTACCGTGTCCAGCGTGCTTGCTACAACTGACCTGGCAAAATGGTGGTAAATACACGCCCTCCCACACAATACTATCGGAGATGAAAAATTCTGCCAAAGAGTACCGCTCCTACCACTATTACCTGGAACGCTTTTTAGAGTATGCATCCGCTGCAGCGCAGCATTCTGTTGCATTGCCTATTGTGTGTAGGGTAGTCAGTACATGGCAGGGGCGTAGAACACGGTACGGTCCCTACGATATTGACCGTACCACTTTTTGCCCCAGGTACCCCGTGAATCAATAAAATGCACTGATCTGGGCTCTAAATTTCCAAAATTTTCGGCTCAGCCACCCCTCCCCCACGAGTAAATTGTACTTCAGGTGTCTGACCGTACCATACTAAATTGCCTTCCGACGGCCCTGTAGGCTTGTCAGTACATGACCATTCTGTTGCATTGCCTATTGTGTCTAGGCTTGTCAGTTCGCAGACTCCAATCGCTACAGCATTGGAACCATAGCTAGTGTGAGCGTGGTGATGGATGATTCTCGCAACCCAATCACATTCAACCTGTCCTACACGGGAGGAACAGAGGACAGGTGAGCAGAGTTAGTCATGATGCCACTATTGATATTAATGATGTCATAAATGATACTGATGATGTCATAAATGATACTGATGAAGTCATCAGTGAAACTGATGATGTCATAAAATTAACGATACCGATGATGTCATAAATGATACTGATGATGTCATCATCGATACCGATGATGTCATCATATAATATTGAATCTTCATTATTGATGATGTCATCATTGATACTGATGATGTCATCATTGATACTGATGGTGTCATAAATGATACTGGTGACGTCGTCATTGATACTGTTGGTCCTTATGCACGTTGTACAGATGTACGAAGTTCTGTGCCAGGGCCGTAGGTGTGTACATATTTTTTTTTTCTGTACCTCGTAGCATGTCAAGACAGCCAATTGAATTGAGGATAGGGTGAGACCAACCACGGAAGAAGAGAAAAATAGAAAGAAAAGCACGTACACCAAAGGGGTAGGGATTAGCAAGTTACAAAGCAATGGGATGCCTAGCGAGCTATGCAGCGGAAATGGTGTGGCTGTGATTTTGTTTACTGGAAGATACTGAAGTGCTGTCTGACGAGAGTACGGAATTTGGCCATATCTGGAGTTTGCCTTACGCTGGGAGGCAGTTGGAGCCATGTGGAGTAGGAGGAATAGAAAGGGGAATTTGCGAATAGGGTAGACCTAGCTAGGGGGAGATACTCGGTCGGGTGTTCATTGTTTTGTTTTGTTTTGTTTTTGTTTATTTAGAGTCGAAGAACAAACAGGCAAATTTGCCTAATTACATGATATCGACTAAAAAGAAGAATAAATTATAAAAGGCCAATGATGGTAATGACACTGAGTAGAGTGGGTAGTAAAGTATTACGTCATTGTAAAAGCCAGTTAGGCCAGTAAAGGAAATAAAAATAAAGCGGGCAGTGGCGTTACTGAAAAGCAGCATGTGCTGGGAGGGATCGCATGAATCGGTGGTACTGTGGGATTTTCCTGATGTCGGGCTGGAGCCTGTTCCACAGTGATACACATTGGAATGAGGCAGAATGTGTGCCAGCGGATGTCTTAGTGACTGGAAATTTAAGTGCTCGATTTCCCTGACTACGTGTATTGTCTGATATACATGCGCGTTTGACCAATTTAGTCTCATTATTTTTAGGCGGCGTTCGAATTGTCTTCATCAACTGTTCGAACAAATTTTTTAAACAGATTAGTTGAAGTGTCCCATCACAACGGTTTCTATCATTTTTAGAGTTTTTCAGTGAAATTGTCATGGCGATGATGACGTCCGATCAGATCGACCATCTCCACGTACTACGTGACGTAGCTATTCCAAACTTTTCGGAACTAATCCACCTCTCCCAGCGGATGAGGTTGTGGAGTTTCGAGGAGTTTCGAGGAGCCTCGTTTTTCCGAAGAGGCCAATAAGGCCACCTCTTCAGAAAAACGAAACTTCTCGAAAAGTCAAAGAGTGACAATTCGAACGCGCCCTAAATGGCTAACAATCGCTTTTCCAGCCTCTTCCCTTTGGATAGAAATATTGACTAGCTAGATCTTTATCGGAAAAAATGTCTTCGTATGAAAATGCCTTCAGGGACGATTTC